AACAAAAACCTCCTATTTTTCCTATTTTTTAGTTGGTGAAGCCAAAATTTGCAAAAATATTGAAAATGCAATAATTGTTGTGTTGTGTTTTAGAGTGAGATTTATCATAAAGCAAGTTGTATGTTGACCTTGATGTTCTAAAATTAGTAAAAATAATAACTACCTTTGTTCTTTCCATGACCTCTATTGCCCATTAGAGTTCTGTTAACAACTTTGTTATAATTATTGTTACTTTTTGCGTAATTTCCTAGTGCACCTACATGTACATGTATTGTATGTAATGTTACACTTCCCATGAGTGTTGAATAATATTGTGCATAGCCCACTGAAACTGCATTTCAGTCTCTGAACACTTCATGATGTAATTATTTTGAAGTCTTGCTCCCTTTTATGTTCATCTTTGAAACTGGAAACATGATCAAGTTGCCCTTTCACAACACAGATCAGATAAATCATCCAATCAGCCTTTTGTTTAAAGAACTAATCACTACCTGGATTCTGTATGCTACGTGAAAAGAACAGACTCAAATTTAGTTTGTGGCACTAGTTTTCTTCGTGAGCTCTTGTTAACAGCTATACTTAAGCAACTGATGAAGGATCAAATATTTTGGTTCCGAAACCGTTCTGCCGGTCATAGCTAAGAAGAGTGTTATATTCCTCTTAGAACTTAACCATAACACACTTACAATCTGGTACCAAATAGATCAGTGTCATTTTGCATACACTGCGGAAAGCCAGGTTTGGTACTTAAAACTATGCGGTCTTTTGACTCAAACAATCATATTCTCAACCAGCTACCGATTGTAGATTAATGGAAGGAAAGATATCATGGGATTTTTTAGTTCAATATCCTTTAATGACAACGCAATCGTAAGAAATTTCTGTCCTAAGAAATTTTACTCTTTGAAGCTTTTCAAAGATTTGCCGCCAACTAGAAGGGATTTGACATATAATCACCTTTGATTATAGAACGCGCTCGACCTGTAGTCAACAACGTCATCCTGATTACAGTGTAACTGATCCAAAAAACTATTTTTTAATACAAAGTTTCCTATTTTTCCTATTTTCTCAATCCCGAGTTTCCTATTTTCCTATTTTTTTGAGCAACCATGCCGCTGGACACCCTGCATTGATTGTGGGAAGGCCTGCAGCATTCTCATTCCCAGAGCCACTCGGCTTAATTTGTAATGAACCACGTTACCAAGAAACAACGGGGTTTGGGGACGAGATTGGACCTGCAGTAACTGCGGTACCAGAAATGTTTTCTAGCCCATGCAACGCCACGGCTCAGTTGGGACATCCGCCGAAAGTCGAACCAACGAGTGGCATTCTAGCTTGAACAGAAAAGTGCAACTCTACTTTTGTCTATATTATTCAGTTTCAGAGATTTTTCCTTTAATTTTTTCAGACCGCAATGGCATCTGCTCAAGTACCCGAATGTCCTATCTGTTGTGAGCATTATGATCATCAAAATCTTTTTCCTCGTCTTCTCATTTGCGGTCACACCTTCTGTTCAAGCTGCCTAGGAAAGTTACTCAAGAATAATTCCATTTCTTGCCCAGACTGCAGAAAAACGGTGCCTGTTCCCGGTGGTGTCGCAGGACTAACTAAAAATTATGCATTATTAAAAATGGGTAACACCACACCTCAAGACATAGAAGGTTTTCATGACTGCGAAGCATGTGATGTCAAGCATCCTGCAACCTCTTGGTGCCTGGACTGCGATTATGATATGTGCGCAACTGCAACTCGCTTTCACAGTCGCAACAAGGCAAGTCGTGACCACAAAGTTGTTTCCTTGGAGCAGCTGGCTGTGTCCGTTTTCTGCACGGAACATAAAGAACAATTCCGCTTGTTCGATGAAAAATGCAATCACATGGTCTGTAGGAGCTGTGTTACACTGACACATGAGAACCACAGCCTTCTGTCTTTAGCTGAAGTTGGTTTAAAGTATAAACAGGAGATGGAAGCACTTGTGACTCAAGCCAGCGCTCAAGCACAGGTGATTAAAGATGCAGAAAATCGAGTTTTGAATGCAAGTAGAGACATGGAAAAAGCTTACAAAGAACAGCGTGCTAAAATTCAAAGCGTATTTAAGAAGGTGAGTTTGTCTTTGTTTCACGTTAACGTTTTCTTTCTTTTTATATATTATGAATCAGTCAATATTAGATTACACACAGTTAATATGGTGATCTTAACTCAAGCAACACAATATCTTACCACTCCTTGATCTGACTAATTTATATCAACCTGCATAAGTATTGATAATTTCTTAGAAACATAACTATCAACTATTAACTATCTTCTGTTCAACTAAAATTTGTATTTTTGAAATTCATATCATCTCCACTGTCGAGAAGACAAAATAATTAACTAAAATAGAATAAAATGAAATAGCATATAGAAGCAGGCAGGGCGAAGCACAGGCGTAGCAATTAATGAAGAGAAATATGCAAGTGCAAGTCTGCGTACTTGTTTGAAGAGTTAAAAGCTGAAATGTGGCTAGCAAGTGGTATGAGGGGTTTACATATGGCAAGACAGGTGAGAATCATGTGATGCTGTGGAAAAATACTGCGAGCTTTGGTAACCACTGTAATAATGTAAAAGTAAAAGTACTTTGAGCGAAACAGTGAGCTACTGAATATTGCACGAGCATTGATTGCAAAGGTGAGGAGAGTAGAGTACACTAAGGACAATTGAGGGTAGAACTATTACCGCCTTAGGGCTCATTAATCCCAGTTTGAGGTTAAACTTATAATATAACAGATATAAGCTGCTTCGTTTAGAAGCCCTTCTAAAGCCCCTTACGAAGATGAATAAGCCCAGGAGTTTACGGTATTTGAACTGCAAATTTTTCCGAACATATCCACCTTTTTTTTGTCTTTGATTGGTTATAGCTTCATGACGCAGTCACGACTAGAGAACAAGATTTGATAAGTGAGTTGGAAATGCTACACAGCAAAAAGGCAGCCATACTCACAGAGCAACGAGCCCTTTTGCGCAATTGCCAAGACTGTATAGAGGCTACCGTCAAAGGCGTTAAATCAACAATCCAATCCTCAGATAATGCCAATCTCCTTTACGTCAGATCAACTATAGAGTCTATACTCGAAGCCGCCACGAAAAATCAATATCTAGTTCTTGAGCCAGAAGCCCAGTTTGTACCAGACCTTAACCGCTGTGAAAAAAGGAGATTACAGCGAGTGGTAGGTGCACTTAATAATGTGGGTGTGGTCATGGACAGGTCCACCTGTGCAGTAACAACCACTGCTGCTGGTTCAGGCCTTGAACAGGCAAACCCGGGAGAGGTGGCGTCTTTTACTATCATCGCTCGTGATGCTCAAAGGCTCTCGCGAGCCGTGGGTGGCGATTCATTTGTAGTGGAGCTTAAAAACAAATCTGATGAATTAGAAGATAAAGTTAGAGCTGATGTTCAGGACAAAGGATACGGAAAATATTTGGTAACTTACACTATTCCTAGAAGTGCTAAGCGGGTTGATTACACATTGAGCGTACTCTTACGAGGTGCTCACATTCAAGGCAGTCCTTTCACTGTACACATGGCATCATCACTACCCTGCAAGACTTACAAAGTGTTATCGGATGTAGCTAGTAAAATAACTCAGCATAGTTAGAACATTTGATTTCCGTATGTCAATTCAGTTTGTTTACGAAAGCTTGAGTTCCCAGATCCTAATTTTTGTCGAACTGAGAAACTTGTTATTTTTTTCACATAACTGCTAACAGGCACTTACGGGCACTTAATCTGCACTTTTCAAATCGTAATAATAATAATAATAATAATAATAATAATAATAATAATAATGATAATGATGGTGATGATGATAATAATGATGATGATGATGATGATGATGATGATGATGATGATGATGATAATAACAGAACTCAATCTATACTTTTCAAAAACAAGAAAGAACTCATAATAAGGCAATGCGCACGATCCATGAGTGTTTCTCACTTTTTACTCTCGCCCTTTTGCTGAAAACTCACTCTTATGCAGGCATTCCTAGAGGAAAACGTTCCTCAAAACACTCAGAACGGGGTTATTTTTAAAACGTGGAATTGGAATTTGGCTATTTTTTTTTATTCAGATCTGCCATCAACTTTTTTTTTTCAGCTTCTTACATGTACTACTGGTATATTTCGCATAATGGCTTCATCTGGGCTAGCGTGTATGGCAGGCACAAAAAGGTGAAGGGGAGGGGAGAGGGAGAAAAGCGCGAAAGGGAAGGGAGCATCTGGGCATGCGCTTCCCAAGTACTAGATATCTTTAATGTTGTGGTGACGTCAAGAGGCAAAGAACACTACGGCACCACTGGAGAATTTACCACAAGTTTGAGAATCTCCTTCTCCTTTAGCTATTAAAGTAGACTGGGATAACTATTTACATTGTGGTCATATTGGCATGTAGCCATATCTTTCTATAAGGCGGCAACCTAACTGAACTCGTGCTCAGGGGGCTTGCACATCGAATACCCGTGCGCTCCTGGGGACGAACGGACTTATTAGGTACACCTTAATATACCCTGTGTGGTGAAACTTCATATTCAGCTCGAAGGCCTTGTAGGGTTGATTCGATTTTCTTAGTGTATTTCCCAGTGTAAGCTTCGAGTTGCTGTTTTTGTTTAACTGACGAAAAAATATTAGGTAAAAAGTCAGGCTTTCGCAGAGAGTGTCAGATAATATTGTAGGGGGTTTACGAGCAACTCGCTCGCTGAGCGTAGAGGTACCAGGTATCTGAGTTTACATCTTGGTGTTCTCTAATCTTTACAGGAGCTCATATGTCTTGTTTACAGCATCACGTAACGAATTCTGCTAGACAACTAACTGTAACTAATCTCAACTACTCACCAACTTGCGCTAAATACTGGCAACTTACACAAGTAAAACGTTGGTACGTTCAGGCTTGCTGACCATGAGAGTTACAAACGCTTTTCCCAATGACTTAAACGAATTTCCTTTCGACAACCAAAGTGGAATAAACAAACCCATAAGAAAACCTATGAAAGCGTGATAGCTAAAAGCTCTACCTTAAAGCAAAACAGGAACTTTGATGTAGGTAACGATAAAGGTCAGCGATGGTTCCAAAACGTGCCCACTTCAAGGACTGACAATCAAATTTAATAAATGACATCACGTTGAAAAAAAACTATTTTAGAAGGTAATAGAATTTGCAAAACGGTCGACACAAATACGGATTAATCTTGATCTATAAACTAATCATAACAAGACTCTAGTCACGAATGAAACGTCAAGCACAAACACTAAATAAACTTAAAATAACCTAAAAAAATACTTGGAGTGGTAACCTAGCTATTCCACACCCCACCCTAACATGCGGAAGTGAAGTGTTTCTTCTACGAAACACAGTTCTCGCCAGCAAGGCGGAAGTGTTGTCGGAGAGATCGTGGTGAGAGAAGTTCTTGCACTCGCTTTATTTTGCTGTTTTCCTCACTTAAGGTAAGTGATTGTCTTTTATAAGATTATAAGAATATATGAAGGCGAGGGTTGTTTTAAGGCAGTATGCACAGCGAAATTCAAGCAAATTCTGCCATCGTTCAGCTCCGTCGATGATTCAGAAACGTAACTCTTTGAAAACAGGAAAAGACAATCGTTAGGGATACTGTTTACCTCAACAGTTTACCCGAATAGAGTCGAAACATGTCCGTATGCATATTAAAGTGAATGGGGCTGTTCGGAAATCTTAACCTTATTCTTTTTACCTTCAAGCAAAAGCTTTACCCTTCTCCTACTCCGAAGTTAAATTGTCGCAGCCCAGGCCTAAACACATAGTAAAACGTCGCGAAGAAGAACCTAGAATTTAAGAACCTGCTTGCGTAAATTTGTCATTTTCATACTCCAAAATATAAGAGCCAGTTTAGCGAAGAAAAATCAACAGGTTCTTATATGTGGGGTGAGATTACATTTTCATAAACATTTTGATCAAAAGTCTGGCTTTAATAGGGGGAAATTTTTATTACATTATATAATAAATGTATAATGTATACAACCATTGCTGGAAACTGCATATCTTCTAGCTGTTAACCTAGTTTTGTTAGATTTTTGGTAGATAAATGCCTATTATCAGGGGCACCCAACGAGAATATAGTTCAAAACCACTAAAACATAGCATTGGTAAGGTATTTTAGTATTTAAACAGTAGATATAGGCATATTTTTTATCCCCTAAAAATGTTTCATCTGTTCGGATTTCTTAGCTGAAAGTCTAGTGATCCGAAAATTATAGGGATCAAAACTCACCTTTTCGAAAATTTCAGCCAGAAAAAAGGCTCCCGAAAATTCTAGGTGACCTTTTTAGAGTAAAAATCCGTTAAAAATAGGCAATTATACCATATTTTAGATGTTCGAAAATCCTAGGAGAAGCAGGCAAGCAAGAAATTTTACAACAAATGTTCCGAAAATTCTAGCTCTCAAATCGTCTTCCGAACAGATTTTTTTCCGAACATTGTCGTTGGGTGCCCCTGTATTATGAAGGATAAATACCATTTATAGCAATTTCATGTGATCAACAACAGTATCCTTCTTCATAAAAATTAAGAACCTATTTAGCCTAAACTTCCAGTAAGTTCTCCAAACTATAAGAATCTATTTTGCCAAACTTCAAAAAATCTAGGTTCTTCTTCGCGGCGTTTTACTGTATCACGGACATCACTATCTTGCCGACTAAAAAGCGAAAATAAAACAAGCCAAGCGCACGGCTGCACTACTATCTCAATAGCTTAGAAGAGGCTAGTCCTCATCATATTGATATGGGATATGGGATCTCAGCTCTTTTTTCCATAGCAGAGTAACCTTACCCTGAAACGTAAATATCACTTTCCCATTTTTACGTCGATTGTTCTCAGTTGACCTTAGGGCGTGTATGAGACACGGAAATATTTGATTACTTAGTAGTCTTACTTACTCTTAGGAAATCATCGCGCGACATGTTCTAGCAAAAATCTTTTTTAGTTTGGTTTATTGAATAAATTTGTTATTCAGTTTGACTTTCCTATATATCACATTCAATTACATAGCGAACCCCTCTCTTCCTTTTTCGCTTCCATTTTCCCCCTTTTTCCCAGAAACGCCTGATACTCAGGCTAACTTCCTGTCCGCACTGACAGTTCACATTAACAACGAACGAGACACGGCACGTTCAATTTGAAAATTTCTCAAAATAGAAAATGAACAGATATAAACAGTGCAAACCATTTCTTATGGATCATACTAGCTTAAATAGTAATTTGTAATGATCAGTAGAAAATGGAAGAGGACCTGTCATTTTTTAAACGAAAAAGCCCTAGAGATGAGCAGCGTGATCAGATAGCGGCGCTTTGAAATAAGATGAATTGTGGAGTATGTGTCAGGTGTCATGTGGTGAAAATAGCAAGGAATCCTTGGACATATTGTCGCGGAAATAATGAACAATTATTCCTCGAGCCCGAATGGGCTCTGAGTCAACAGCCCATGAGGGCGAGCGGAATAATTGTTTTAGTAAAATCCACTAGTTGGTAAAAAATATCCGAGACAGAAAAACTTCAGCTAGGAAAACGCGATTCAGCCGTCATTGTTTTGGTTTTCAAAGCCGGCGCTTTTCGCTACAAAGTGGGCTATAACATATAGCCTAGTAGTAGCTCAACCAATCAGTACGCAGAATTGATAATAGACCACTACATGGGTTTTACTATACTGATTAGTCTGTCACTTGACAAATTTAATCTTCATTTTATTTGACTTTTACTTAATAAAGTGTGACTGTATTAACACGATTTTTACGTTTCCCTTTGAAGATGGGTATGCCATTCTCACGCGCATTCTAAGAATCGAAAGGAGTATCAGTTTGGTCCAGCCCCCGGAGATCGAACCCGTTACCGCTCAACAGCCCATCGCTCTGATCTTGCCAACGTGATTACCGTACTTTGTTAGCCTGACTGTGAGAATTGGGCCCTTTTAAAAACGTTGAACTTTTCATGTAACTAACTAAATACTCATTTGGGTGGACCCCAATGACAACAGTTTAATACACTGCGACCAGTCTCTCTTTTTTTTCAGATTTAGTAAGAGGAGTGCGTGCGCGCGCGCGCGAGCGTCTCTCCCGTCTCGCGCCTTTCATCACGCACGTGGTTATTTTCATGTCTGGGGCCTTGAGCTCGACAGACTAAGAAACAAGATAGATTCTAGTAGTCTAAATGTTCGACGGTTGATTCAAACACTTTCTAGTCAAAATAAATTATAACATTTTTTTCGCATTTAAATTCGGCTCACAAAAGTTCGACTTTTTAAACAAAGTTGCTCCACAGTCGAAATTCATGTGGGCCACTCGAACGATTCAAACGTCGATCTTTTCACATACTAAACTGAAGGAGTTAGATTCGATACGTGAAAAGTTCTACGTTTGAACTGGGCCTTACTTTGAACATGTTTTCTTCTTCGTTTATTTTCAGACAATGGCTTCTCCTAAAGTACTTGTCGAGTGTCAAGTGTGTCGTGAGGTTTATGATTATCGAGACCTTTGCCCTCGTATGCTGAAATGTGGTCACAGTTTTTGTACGCGCTGTCTGTGGCAGTTGCTCACTGCAAATGACAAAATTCCCTGTCCCACTTGCAGAGTTGAAGTTAACGTACCTCAAGCTGGAGTCGCGGGATTACCAAAAAATTTTGAATTGTTACGAATCTTGGATGTCACACCTCAACAACAAGAAGGTGAAAGTTTATTCAACTGCGAGGTTTGTGATGATAAGCATCCGGCAATCGTCTGGTGCTTCAACTGCGACGAAGATATGTGTAAGGTTGCAGCCGAATTTCACTCTCGCTATAAAGTAATGAATCATCACGCACTCATCTCACTGGAATCAGCCACTGCAACTGCGTTTTGTTCAAAGCACAGCCAGCCATTCCGTTTATTCGACGAGACCTGCAATCATATGGTTTGTAGGGGATGCATCAACCGTAGTCACAAGCGTCACAAATTATCATCCTTTGCTGACGCTGCTTCAAAGTGTCGTCAGGAGATGTTGGAACTTGCCACTAAAGTTAACGCTCGTTCCGAGGAGATAAAAACTGCAGAGGCTCAAGTGAAGCAGGCGATGCTTGACATGGAAAATTCGCGTAAAAAGCAAAAGGCGCAAATTCATAGTTTATTCAAGGAGGTACAATCATCGTCAAAAGTGTTGGGAAGGTTGCCTTTTTTACCTCTTCTTTTCCTTCCTCCCCCCGCCCCTGGCCCAATGTTGATCAAAACGTTAATGTTTGTGCGTGTAATTGTTCTGTTATATCCCAACATTGAACAGGGGGGACGGGGGGTATTTAGCACAAGAGAAAACTCTCTTTTTTCAGGATTAAAATGGACTACTGTTAAGTTATACAGCCTTCCCAACTACTTTTGTCTTTGATTGTCTGAAAATTCTGGGTGTGGCCGTGAAAGACCAAAACTCGACGACTTTTTGTCAGTAGAAACGTCTTCAAAAAACACTCGTAAACAGTACTCTGTTGAAAAAAAATATTTGCCGTACCTTGTTAAGACAGTTTTTGGCGCACACGCCTGTTTATATTCGGCATGTTTTGCAACCCGGTAAGTACAACTATTGCTCTTTCCGGAGCACAGGAAGAGGCCCAAAATACAAATGAAAGCCTATTTTCGGTGAAAACTATTGACTGTAGCATAGGCTGATATGCTTCAAATCGTAAAGCAAGATATAGTGCGTTCACCACTTCCCGCAAAAATCATTCGGATTGCGACAGTGTAGCTGACATCTTCCTTAGCACTCCCCACTTCTTTACAACATTCAGCACATGCCAATTTGCCAGGCGAGCAAACTATGAGGCTGAGTGGAGATTTGCCGAATTCTAGAGGCTACTTTCTCCGGCTGAAAAACTCTAGTTAAGCCCTTGTGGCACTGCTTTTCGAAACTGGTTTCAGAAAACGACAACAACGTACGCTCTTGATTTAGAATAAGGCGTCTATTGTCTTCGTTGATCTAATTAAAAAGGGTAACACATGCAAAGTCATCACACACCACATTACTCCATTTTCGTAGCCGAAAATAATTCCTTTATAGTAGCGCTAATGACAAAATAGCCTAATTGACTTGTTCGGGGCTTTGCAAGGACTTAACCAAAGGAATTTTAATAGATATTTTAGCTTAATTCTAAGTAAAATACAACAGTACTCCATGGATAGCGTTAAAATTAAACTAACTTTGCTAATTGACCTTTATGGGGTACTGTTTAAATGGAGTAATGTTGGGAAACAGTTGTTAAATTTATCTCCGTAGATAAATGCGACAAAAGCTGTCCATATTCTTACATGATTTACATGTTTTTACCCTTTTCTTGTTTGAAAGTTGGTTCATTGTGCATATATTTCGCATTTTCTTGTGGAGTAATGTGATGGAGTAATGTGGAAACTCATGTTGTTTACTGTTCTCAAATTAACTGAATGATTGACAGGCGACGCTAGCACAGCAATTTCTATATGAACACTGAACATGGCTGAATGAACTCTTTTATAGAGGTTTCGTATAACTTTCAGGCCTTACAAAAATACAGTCTACAAGGTTTTAATTCGGCACTTATCTCACTCCTTCCTCGCAACTACAAACATCACGTTTTTCTAGGATACTTTGACACCGCCAGAATGCCAAAAAAACTTTATTGTGGCAGCCTTTATGCCATTTCTATTTGTAACATCTTTCAAAATATTTCGCTGATAGGAAACGGCAAAAGTTAACCAGGAATAATGCCGCTGATGAAAAAGATACATGTATACATGACAACGACAGCAATTGTATAGCATTTTTTGCTTAAAAATACCCTCATGACTTTTCGTTAAATCTAGTGAAACAGACCACCTCTGGCCATTCTTTCTATGTAGTCCACGCGAAGAAAACGTCTGTTGGTTCATGAGGAAAATTAAAGGCCTTAAATGTTTTCTTCTGACGTTCTTAAAAAAAAGCGTTTTCACCCAGTGGACTTTGTGGTCACGCTGTGAAATGTCACGCACGTCTGATGCAAAATTCTCCTATTTATGATTTTACTGAAATATAACCTTCATTGTATTTTTATATACTTTGGAAAGTGCATTATCAGCACAGTTCCAGGGCGAGATATCTCAATCAAATGTTAAATGCGACAAGTTTTATAAGCGTTTAAAGTTGATTTCCTATTCTCCTACAATCATCGTCAAAAGTGTTGGGAAGGTTGCCTTTTTACCTCTTCTTTTTTCCTTCCTCCCCCGCCCCTGGCCCAATGTTGATCAAAACGTTAATGTTTGTGCGTGTAATTGTTCTGTTATATCCCAACATTGAACAGGGGGGACGGGGGGTATTTAGCACAAGAGAAAACTCTCTTTTTTCAGGATTAAAATGGACTACTGTTAAGTTATACAGCCTTCCCAACTACTTTTGTCTTTGATTGTCTGAAAATTCTGGGTGTGGCCGTGAAAGACCAAAACTCGACGACTTTTTGTCAGTAGAAACGTCTTCAAAAAACACTCGTAAACAGTACTCTGTTGAAAAAAAATATTTGCCGTACCTTGTTAAGACAGTTTTTGGCGCACACGCCTGTTTATATTCGGCATGTTTTGCAACCCGGTAAGTACAACTATTGCTCTTTCCGGAGCACAGGAAGAGGCCCAAAATACAAATGAAAGCCTATTTTCGGTGAAAACTATTGACTGTAGCATAGGCTGATATGCTTCAAATCGTAAAGCAAGATATAGTGCGTTCACCACTTCCCGCAAAAATCATTCGGATTGCGACAGTGTAGCTGACATCTTCCTTAGCACTCCCCCATTCTTTACAACATTCAGCACATGCCAATTTGCCAGGCGAGCAAACTATGAGGCTGAGTGGAGATTTGCCGAATTCTAGAGGCTACTTTCTCCGGCTGAAAAACTCTAGTTAAGCCCTTGTGGCACTGCTTTTCGAAACTGGTTTCAGAAAACGACAACAACGTACGCTCTTGATTTAGAATAAGGCGTCTATTGTCTTCGTTGATCTAATTAAAAAGGGTAACACATGCAAAGTCATCACACACCACATTACTCCATTTTCGTAGCCGAAAATAATTCCTTTATAGTAGCGCTAATGACAAAATAGCCTAATTGACTTGTTCGGGGCTTTGCAAGGACTTAACCAAAGGAATTTTAATAGATATTTTAGCTTAATTCTAAGTAAAATACAACAGTACTCCATGGATAGCGTTAAAATTAAACTAACTTTGCTAATTGACCTTTATGGGGTACTGTTTAAATGGAGTAATGTTGGGAAACAGTTGTTAAATTTATCTCCGTAGATAAATGCGACAAAAGCTGTCCATATTCTTACATGATTTACATGTTTTTACCCTTTTCTTGTTTGAAAGTTGGTTCATTGTGCATATATTTCGCATTTTCTTGTGGAGTAATGTGATGGAGTAATGTGGAAACTCATGTTGTTTACTGTTCTCAAATTAACTGAATGATTGACAGGCGACGCTAGCACAGCAATTTCTATATGAACACTGAACATGGCTGAATGAACTCTTTTATAGAGGTTTCGTATAACTTTCAGGCCTTACAAAAATACAGTCTACAAGGTTTTAATTCGGCACTTATCTCACTCCTTCCTCGCAACTACAAACATCACGTTTTTCTAGGATACTTTGACACCGCCAGAATGCCAAAAAAACTTTATTGTGGCAGCCTTTATGCCATTTCTATTTGTAACATCTTTCAAAATATTTCGCTGATAGGAAACGGCAAAAGTTAACCAGGAATAATGCCGCTGATGAAAAAGATACATGTATACATGACAACGACAGCAATTGTATAGCATTTTTTGCTTAAAAATACCCTCATGACTTTTCGTTAAATCTAGTGAAACAGACCACCTCTGGCCATTCTTTCTATGTAGTCCACGCGAAGAAAACGTCTGTTGGTTCATGAGGAAAATTAAAGGCCTTAAATGTTTTCTTCTGACGTTCTTAAAAGAAAGCGTTTTCACCCAGTGGACTTTGTGGTCACGCTGTGAAATGTCACGCACGTCTGATGCAAAATTCTCCTATTTATGATTTTACTGAAATATAACCTTCATTGTATTTTTTATATACTTTGGAAAGTGCATTATCAGCACAGTTCCAGGGCGAGATATCTCAATCAAATGTTAAATGCGACAAGTTTTATAAGCGTTTAAAGTTGATTTCCTATTCTCCTACAATCATCGTCAAAAGTGTTGGGAAGGTTGCCTTTTTTACCTCTTCTTTTCCTTCCTCCCCCCCGCCCCTGGCCCAATGTTGATCAAAACGTTAATGTTTGTGCGTGTAATTGTTCTGTTATATCCCAACATTGAACAGGGGGGACGGGGGGTATTTAGCACAAGAGAAAACTCTCTTTTTTCAGGATTAAAATGGACTACTGTTAAGTTATACAGCCTTCCCAACTACTTTTGTCTTTGATTGTCTGAAAATTCTGGGTGTGGCCGTGAAAGACCAAAACTCGACGACTTTTTGTCAGTAGAAACGTCTTCAAAAAACACTCGTAAACAGTACTCTGTTGAAAAAAAATATTTGCCGTACCTTGTTAAGACAGTTTTTGGCGCACACGCCTGTTTATATTCGGCATGTTTTGCAACCCGGTAAGTACAACTATTGCTCTTTCCGG